AGATACAGGCTGGTAGCAGATGATCTCAACAGAATCCTGGCATCTGTAGGGTCTTAAGTTACCTCTGTGCTCCTCTTGATTCAGCTAAGGATCCAGCCAGGCTTTTGTCAACCTGTAACCGGGCCAAAATATTCTGCGCGTTAAACATCTGGTTCCAGCGCCTCGGTCGCCAAGAGGACGGGGTACGGCTCGGACCCCGAGGAGTTAAGATCAGGGGTCAGGGGTGGTGGTGGGCTCTTAGGGGAACGAGAGGGGGCGATGGAAGGGAGAGGGGAAACTTGGCAATCCCCAAAACATCATTAAAGCCGATGCGGAGCGAAGTGGCAAGCTTCGTGGGGCCTCTAGTGGCCGCGGCCGGGAAACGCCGTGGGACACGGGGCGAGCAGCGGGGCGAGGGGGCGAGCTCCCTGCCCGGCTCCCTGCCCCGCTACCGCACCCTCACATGAGCGTCCAGCGGGCAGAGGCGCTTAAAAAACACTTCTTAAAAACTTCCGACACCCCCGCCGTGCCTCCAAGTCCCGCACCCAAAGGGGCTTTTTGACCTTCGTTATGCACAAGCAGGCCCCTGGCCTGCAGCCAGGCAGTAGCCCCAGTGGCTTCCCCAAGGCTCGAAGGGCAACTGTGGGGCCACCTGCTCCCTGCTTTCACAAGGAGCTGTCATTTCGGCAGAGCGATCGGCCGCTCCCCATCACCCTGCTCAGTCAGCTCGCCGCTTTACAAACACGCCCCAGTCAACGGGAGTAGTGCAAAACAATGTTCTCCGAAGTTCTGAATTCGCTTGGTGGTGGTGTAGCACCAAACCGAGCTTTCAGTCAAAGCCGAGCACTGCATCGCTGAGCCAGGGAGCACAGAGCGCTTTGAGAAACCATAAACGCTTTGAAGAAACCATAAACGGTGTTTGGCAGACGTTAAAGATCACCGAGTGAGTCCAAAACTAGAGGGTGCACTTGGACTGAAGGGGACTTCAAGAAAAAAGGTTTAGCCAAGGAAAGCTCTAGACACCGCAATCATGAAGCCCGTCAGCCAAAAGTATTTGGAATAAAGTTTTATCTAAAAAGTAAAGCCTATGTGAATGCTAATGAAGCTTTACTTGCAGAGCTCTTGCTTCTATGAATGTATGAAGAAAGTAACTCTGACTGATTTTCTAAACTATTTTGTAACCACTTTTACTTTTAAAATCCACCATTGCACCAGCAGCTAAGTAGTTCCAATAAACCAAGATCAATCAGCAGAGTAACTTTAAATTCAGGAAATGAAATTATTTCCTTCCCTAATGTCTACTGCATGTTTATTACTTACAGCTGGGTTATGAACTACCAAACATACTACTGCACATTAGCGAGTAAGGAAGGTACTTAATTTTTCTTTTTTTGTACCCTAGCGGATGTACTTCTGTGGGCGATATATATCTAATTATTTTTTTACACTGGCAAGCACAGCTTTTCAATGCTAAGCTTGTTAAGGGATATGCAAAATGGATTTAAAATAAGGTAAGAGCAAGCCAAATTCACTATCTGCTTTGTTTTCATTTCGCTGGTCCAAAGACCACTTGCTGTATCACCTAACCCCAAGATAATATTTATGGTAACTCTTAAAATGAAATTCTCCATAAACACCATTACTCAGCCAAAGCGTGTTCATGAACAGACTGTGTCACTCACGCCATCCCCATGCACATGTTTTTCAAGTTTCAGAATTACACTCAGTCCTTAACTGGAATGCTGAGGTTCGTGTATGAATTTCTAAATTGCTTTGAGCAACCTTTCAAATATTATTTTGGGGGGAGGGGAGGACGGGGGGCGGCGGGGGAACCCACCCGTAAGAAAGTGCCAGTCTGGAAAAAAGAAAAAACAAACCAAGCAACCAACCTTAACCTACCAGGTTAAGCTTACGGCAGAATGGCCCCAAAGTACCCCTCAGTTTGAGAAACTGTCCTCCTGCGAGCACAGCGACTCTTCAGCAGGGTACAGCAAAGCTGTAGACAGGACAGGGCGAGCCAGCCAGCTTCTGCCAGTGCCCCTCGCTTTGCAAACAGTCTTTGACAGTGTCAGCTATTAATTTGTCTAATCACTGTGTAGTCTCTACACCACCTGAACAATGCCATACAGAAAGCTAATCCGCAGATTTGCAGTACTGAATTGTTTGCTGTTAAGTTATGGATTATACCAGCATGTCATCATCGAGTTTGTTTTTCACAGAAGAAAAAAGGCTTTGGCTTCATGCAGAAAAACGAGTTAAGGACGAACCGCATGCAAAGAGGGGCAGAACCACTTATCTGCTCTGTATTATGCTGATCTTGGAAGATGCTTCGATGCTGAACGTGTTTCTGCATGCCGCGTCTCAGCACAGCTCGGTCCCGAAGAGGTTGGCTTGCAGGGAATTTAAGACAGAGTAGTGCAAAACAATACATTTTATTTGTTCACAGTTAAACACAAGCAACTGCCTTGACATTTTCGAACATTCTAATAAGGACAGCAAAACCTCCTTTTGGTTTAAGTTCTCTTTAGCTTACGATTGTACCATTTCCTCGTATTTTGTATTTATGGCATTTAATGTGGATTGTTTAACATGCTTACAAAGAGCAAGGCAGGGAACAGATTAACTTGACAAAGACAGCAATTTTAGATTTAACTAAAAGCAGTCAGTTAAAAAAATCTGTTTCCACTTCACTGATGGGACCCCTTCAAACAAACTGCAAGTTAACTACATACAGCAGATCCATGATTTTTAGACTTACAAAAAAATTGCAAAATTTGTTCCTCCATAATCTTTGTGGTCCATAAACAAACCTAAAGTGGTTTCCGTTACTATCCCGGTGCTAAAATCCTGTTTAAAAGAAGAAAAAAGCCACCTTATCAATGCGCTTGCATTACCGCCAGGGCATTTTTGTAACCGACAACAAAACACGCCTCTCCTCAGAACAAGTGAAGTCATGGTGTAAGCAGGACACCTCTTTGGGCTCGGTAAAGCAGGAGGATGGGCTAACGAACTCCTCCAACGCAACGGCATCCGACGGCTGAGCCAGCCCTTCAAGGGCGATGTGCAAATGTTCACTCCTGGGGCTGGGACCCTGTGGGGCAAGGGGCAGGAAACCTCCGAATCTTACTGAAACATACGCTACCACGTTTGCTACCACTAAGTCTTAGAAAGCCTATAGACATGTCGACAAAACCAGTCTGTCACTTACAACCAACTCTCTATTTTCTATTCCATGCAGATTCAAGCTTTGACAAAACCACTGAAGTTCACCTTTACTTTCAGAGTTAGGACTGACCAACCGCAAGGACACTGAGAATAATTTAGACAGGCAGAAATGTATTTAGACCCTAAGTGTTATGGAAGAAGCGGAACGGGAGAAAAGTACTGTCAGGTGGATGTTAGCATATTGCCAGCCACTTTGACAGAGTCCCATTCCTATTCAGGTTAAGAAGGGATCTGAACTACAAGTGCAAGTGTACTTGGACTTGATTTATATGAGAGGATTCTTGAACAGCAGCTGCCACCCACAGAATGTTTAAGAGAAGAGGCCACGTGTGATGCAGGGTAACTGTGAAGCCTGATATGTCTCAGTACGCCTGGACCCAGACATATCTAACATTTAAAAGAATCACGCTGCCTTCCTAACAGCAGGCTCTGTTCTGTCACGAAGGAGATTGTGTCTGACCACTGACAAGCCCTGATCCCACAATCCTCCTTCACAGAAGGCTCATCATTTGACTTAAAACATGATTAACGCAGAAAGGCTTCACGCCAGAATTCTGATTCTCCGTTTGAGCAGGCTTCCTCTTCAGCCTTGTCTTCTAAGGAAATGGGACGAGGGCGAAGGGGAGATACCTAGAGCCAAATCGACATTGCTGTGCTGAAAAATGTGCTGCAGTCCGAACAGAACAGCCCTCAAAGGAAACCATATTCTGTAAGTCAAGCCCAAAAACGTGTTCCCAGGCACAACGAAGCCAATTTCTTGGACTCAGAGGACAGTAGTCTTGCTCAGTCTGGGAACAAAGACCAGAACTACGAAGGAGGGTCAGGCAGCACAAGTATTTCCCTGATTAGAGAAACAAATGCTCTTCTGCAAATCTTCATAAGCTTGCAATTCTACATACACGCTCTGCACGCTCTCCCTACTTGAGTAAAGCTTCCTTTTCCCTCTTCTCCCACCCCAACTGCTTTCCCATATGAACCAGTCTGAGGTCAGTACCAGTCTGTCAGGCAAACACTTAAAATACCAAAAAGATCAGAAGCTAGTGTTTTAACAAGTCTCCAGCACATACGGTCTCTTCTGCATTACAAGCTCCAGTTCCTTATTAAGTGTCTGTTCAAATGTAACTTTCCAGGAAATGTTAAGGACAATATAAACAAGGATCATGAATTAGGGCAAATGAATCGTTTTGCAGAGGTACACTGTTCTTTAAACATCTAGGTATTCAATCAGAGTCCAACTTAATGAAGACTGGGCTCTGAGGCATGTGGGACAGTGGACAGGCAAAACAGAGACCTTTAGATGAACGCACTAGAAATTCTAGTGCTGCTTCTCTCCAGGATGAAAGCAACCAAAGTCACCCGGACAGGCAGCACAATTAACTGTTCTAAATTGGAAGCTTGCAAGGAAATACAAAGCATTCATAGTAGACTCACAAATGTTAATTTGGCCTCATATTGCACTCAAGTTCATGAACGCAGCCGCTCACTGGGGACAGGGAGAAAGGGAAAAAAATACTTGCAAATGCTAACAGTTGTCCCTTCAAATTAGTACACGCTGCTAAGGACTGAATTTTCTGAGAAAGAAGCAAGAGTTAGGCTGGGCATTTCAATTCCAGACCCAAAAATCCACTTTGCATTCATTCAGCAGCCTTCTTCCATTTCTGGACATCAATCCTATTCCGCTGCATGAGCTAGCTGCTCAGACCAAAGAAACATAAAAGCTTTTAGTTAAACTTGCATTCACGCCTCCTGTTCTATGCCAAGAATATGAAAATAACACTGATTGACTATCTTCCTTTTTAACTGTGGTCATGATGAGTTTCATTGTAGTCCATGATATGAAGCTGTCCAACACTGCTTTCCTGGATCTTAGGCGAGAGGCTAAGGTTATTGGGGCTTGGAGGGGCCTTTGTCTCCATGCTTGGATCTTTACATAGTTCAGTCTTTAGAGCATCAGAAAGCCTATTGATGGTTACACCCTCCTCATCACACTGGCTCTCGCTCTTGTTGCGAAATAATTCTCGCGCCTTCATTCCAAGGAAGCTCTTGGAGCTGGGGAGTGAACCTACAGTCAGTGGGACAGTAGTTGAGGGCTCCAGCAACACGGACGTCTCCCAGCGACTGCTGAATCTCTGGTTCGGGGGTTTTTCTGGGGTGGAGAGCTCACTGCTGCTGCCACCCTTACTGCTACTACTACCTCGAGTGCTGGGAGGTTTGGTCTCCCCATTTCTACCAATCGTTTCTTCACTGTATCCCGCCACAGTATCTTCATTACCACAATCCAGCCTGTTTTGGAACAAGAGAGGATACAGTGTCAAGGAAATGGTAGCAACTGTTTACAGTGGAAAGGGAAACGCTGGGAAGGCAGGTTACTTTGATTGCTTTCCATTTCTGCTACTGCACATGTACTTCAACAGCTTTCCTTTCACCGTTTTGCAACAAAGCAGAAGTGACAGAGGGTAACCAGAAAAGTGTCTCACGCTCAGCTTTGCAACACCCAGTGTTTTAAGTCCAAAGCTGACAGTAATCCCAAAGCAGAATGGAACTGCATCCTGATCTGTTAAGGTAAAGGAAGAGATCTGTACATCTTCTTCGGATTGTAGAACTTTCTTTTACCTAACCCAAGCACAGGTGATTGCACAAATCTGCTGGCAAGAAATTATTCTGATGCTGTAGCAGAATTTGGTGTAGAAAAATAAAGGTATGATCTGAAGGGAAGTACAGCACTACCTAGACACTATAGGTAGACATATGTAAAACAACTACTTAACAACAGTGTACCAATTTGTAGATTAAGAGAGACAGGTCTATGAGACAAACCAGGGGCTTCTCTCAGACTCTGAGTAAGGGTTCAGCTATCTGTAAAGCACTTCATGAGCACTTCCAGTTTTGTCAATGACTCTCTGTAACCTGGCCAGAGTCCCGAAATAGATTCGGTCTGTAAAAGGGGGAGTAACAGAAATATTGAGATGATGCATCCAAGTGCTAGGAATTCCACAAGGATATCAACTTCCAAGGAGCTGGTCGTGAGTCCAGCATATTTTACATCATCACCCTTACCTTTCTTCTGCTGCTTCAGCTGCTTCTGTTTTATCATCTTCAAGTTTTTTCAGTAGGCTGCTCTTCTCCAGCCGGCCAAACAGATCCAAGATCTCCAGCTCAAATGCCTGCGTGATTCTTTTCTGGGCCTTGTACCTACTTTCTACTGCTTGCAGCTGACCTCTGAACAGAAAGAAACCAAAATCCTTCAGGTCCAGTGTCTCCAGATTCTGCCTCAACCATGACAGTGCATCTGTCAAGGCACAGCTAAAATTTTACATAGGAAACCCCTACCTTGCTTGGATTTTGACATCTTCCAGGTATTTCTTTTGCTCCAGGAAGAGGTGGTCCTTTTTAGCAAGCTGAGATTCCAGTTCAGCTATCCGTTTCTGGGAAGCATCAAGCCTTTGGCTTTGCTGTTGAACACACAATTTTGCTTTCTCCAGTTCTTTCCGAAAAGCAGCATGCAACATTTCAACCTCCTCAAAGGAAAGAACACAATGTTAAAGTATAATTTGATCGTGTGTTATTTTTATTAATATTTAGACATGCTTCTGATGCTATAAATAGATACATTTTAAAGCAAGATGGAATAAAAGCAGCATTTCTAAAAACAGATATAGAAAAGTGGATACTCTGAGGATGTACACTATTAAGTTACTGGGAAAATAACTATACATCACTGGAATTTATTAGCACCTTGGTGTTCCTTATGAAAAGCTCTTTTCAGCAAAGCAAACTTGTCAGTTCTGCACCAGATTAGAAGAGACAAACTTCATTTTAAAACCATTTTTGCAACATGACCTTCATTAAATACCAGTAAAAGACTTTTTTTTTTTTTTTGGTTTATTATTCACATTCTTTAATTACTTGCTCTCACGCAGAAACAGTTATATTGTTGTGTAATTTACTTGCTTCTAATTAAAAAAAGGTTTCTTTGAAGTCAGGAAGTAAAACCATATGAGCCACAGAAGTTTCAGTAAAGTTAATACTAACTCTTAATAGGAAAACGACTGAGTGAGAAGAGTAAGACTGCCTTTTCTAAAACAGCACCTCACAAAAACCCATAAAATCCTGGTTAAGATCTTTCTACAAATTCTAGCACTACTACCCTATGTTATACACTTTCACAAACATAAGAGCCCAATGTTACTTTACCAGCAATACTCTGCTGCCAATTACATTAAGAGCACAGTAAAGTCCTGGCCTTTGGCAAGAAAAAATTGTTAAGAATTTACATCAAGGGGCTAAAACTGACTTCTTCAGGTGTACCCTAACATCCCTTTCTCAGCTTTCAGGCACAGGGCACTGAAGATATTCCATAAACCTACAGTGCACAAAAACATCTGACCAGAAGACTAAATATGAAATCCAATCCCTGAAAAATCAATTTCAAAATAAAGTCTGTGTTAAGTTATGAAGCATTTCCTTCATTCTGAACGCAAGGCTGAGAACAGCTTGACGATGACCTCAAGTGAAGTCTTCCCCAAAAGGCCTCCTCTGCAACTCTGCAATCATACCTTTGTAGTGTCCGTGTGCTTGTGCTGCAGCTGCTCCAGGTACAACTCATTGACCTCTCCAAGAACCAGAAGTTGCCTGTTCAAGAACTCCATCTGCTGTTGCACTGATTCGCTGTTGGAAAGCTTTCAAGAGAAATTGAACAGAATCAAACATTGGAATGAACAGTCCAGCAGGACAGTCACAGCTGACAGGCACTGTGTTCACAGGGTATTTTTATAAAGAAGGGAGACAAAGACAAGAATCCAATGCATCACAGGCAATAAGTGTTAAATAAATTAGTTTGCATAAAGCTGGTGACAGTCCACACAGAACTTCACCATATAAGCAATTGTTTCCCTTAACATAACCATGTTTCCACTTACACGAGAAGCCCATTCAACTTTCTGATACAAACAATATCTCTAAGATGCCAAGATTTAGCAGAGTTTTAATACAAATTCATATTGCTCAGGCTACAAATTCCTATTGTGGAAAAAGCAGCCAAAATGAGAAGTTTCAGAAGCCTCTGAATTGAGTTTAAAGTTTCTTCACCAAAATATGTTTCTCTGTGTTGTTTTTGTGCAATTAATTTCAGATTCTATGGAACTAAGCACAGGCTTCTTTCAGAACAAGAAAGAAAAAGCACCTGATAAAAATTATCAGGAAAAAAAACCCCAAACAGAAAGACATAAAAGGACCCTGGGGACAGTGACTTTTCTTACCTTTTGAGAAACTTGGCTAAGAAGCAATTCAGTGTGACACACCTTGTTGTTAGCCTTCTTTAATTCTAACCTCAGATCTGCAATCATATTCCGGCAGTCTTCCAGCTTGGTCTGTTCAAATAAAACAAACTCACTCAGGGTCGTGAACTTTAATAAGGACTAGCAATGGCATATGGCTGGAGGACCGTAACCCCCAGCACTGTAAATCAAGTTATACTGAGTAATTGCAAAAGTCCCCAAACCAGCTAAGATACTGCATTCTCCTATTTCTAACCTGAAGACAGCACAAAACAGAACTATAAAAGGACAATGACTAAGTTCAGCATTTCTAGTTATGCACTGTCTTATTCTGAATTAGGACAATATCCCTAATAGACACACGTAACTTTCTCTCAGGTATTTCGTGCCATGTTATTAGGAAGGTTATTTTTAAAACTAGCAAGTAGATAACATAATTTTGTTCAGTGTCATGCTTCATACCTGCAATTCCTGGCTCTGGTTGTAGAATTCCTCCCGGTCGTGTTGCAGCTGTCTGATCTGGCTGTGAAGCTGAGCCACTATATTTTCATGTTCCTCCTGAAACTTGTGGTACCTTGCCTGTTCTTTCTGCAGACTCAGTTTCAAGGCCTGGATTTCTTTTTCCTGTAGTTTCAGCTGATCTTTCTGTTAAGAACCCCATATGAAGCATCAGACATCTGCTTTATCAGTTAGAACATCTGTCCTAAGTTGCTAGCTAGTGAAGCACTAGTATAAAAAAATCATTTTATATAAAGCGTGTTTAAGAACATTAAAGAACATTTTAAATAGAGCATGTTTAAGAACATTAAAGACTTTTAGGGGCTTTTTTTGGTTGAAAGAGAGATTAAATGGTGCTAGAGTGGACAGGCTGAAAACAAGTCACATCCAAAGGCACAGTGAGCAATAGCAGGTTCTTCCGCTGCTTGGACTTGGGCTTCACAGTGATGTGAACAGAAGTTCATTTTCCAAAACCTATTTGGAAAGCTATTTTTGGCTTTTCTACTGAATTATCCAAAGGTGAAACTGTAGCTGGAAATAGCTATAATATGGAGGTACAGAATGAAACATGCCTAAATCTGTAATGAGACACCCTTCAATGCACTTATAACTTCAAATTTTATCATAGTAAATACCTCTGGAAAAGGACATTTGAGTTTTCAAAGTTTTGGCTATTGCTCCTCAGTTGAGGAGTGGAAGGACACTACTTCTCCAAATAATACAATAATGTGTCTAGCCAGGCATTAAGTAACCACTCCACTAACTGTGAAGCCTTTAATACTATCCAAAGGCAAGTGCTGGCAGGGGTCAAGCATGCAGGCATCCACTGATTCAGTTGCCTACAGTCAAATAGAAACTACAGGTTTTAATAATCATGGTGTACGTAACTCATCCACAAGTCATTCCATAAACACTGACTTTAATAAGGTGAGAAATGAGGCTTCTTTTTTAATGGAGTGGTACTGAAAGATACTGGCGAAAACAATTAATACTTGTTCTAGCACCACTGTGTTTTAATGACTGCTAGAGTTGTATCCCTGCTCACCATGGCAGCATTATGTTCCTCCAGTGCTGTTGCTTTAATCACTTTTCGCAAGAGTCGACGGTTCCGAAGGGCATGTTGCTGTCTTTTGAAGCGTTCGTACAATAACTGGTTGTGCAGCAAAAGCAATTGGTTACGCAGGGTGTGAATCTCATCTGACGGGGGAGAACCTGGATTGGAGTTAGAAGACTCAAGAGGTTACTGAACTGTACTGTCCCTGTTCCACATATGGGAAATATTTTCTAAAATGAGCAAATTAGATTTCTTTGAAATTACAACTTCAAAATCTGTCTGTTCCATCTGATCTCCAACATAAACTTAAAATTTTAAACATTTTTCCGAGACCAACATGTATACGCTTCAAATGGATTGCTCCTTCTATTTAGAAAAAAAGCCAAGCATTATCACAGAAGCCTAAGAGCACAGAAATATGACACACATGTGAAGCAGCAAGAAAAACAATCACCAGTTTTAGATTCAAGTAGTATTTCAAAGGTGAAAGGATCTGTTAGATGATCAGCATCACTCTGAAGGCTAGCAGATTTTAAATGGTCAACAGTAGAAATGACTGGAATTGTGGGGAAGGCAGTTTTCACTTTTTAAAGATAAAAAAACCAGCTCATCTCACTGGAACACAGATGTCTATCTGCTAAGCAGATAAACCATGACTTAATGGAGGGCACCATTTTTTTTTTTTTTTTTTTTTTTTTTACTAATGCAGCAGAAAAAGTATGCAGGTCATTGTTTAAGCAAGTCTAATGACAGAACAGATTGCCAAAACACGTAAGAAACTTCCTCACCTCCAAAGTGAGTCCAGTCAGCGGATTTGCTTGGCAAAGACAATCTGAAAAATGAAAATGCAGCATTAAATAGAAAGTTCAAATATGCAAACACTCTGCAAGTCACTTTAAAATGGAATGCCCACCTCAAAAGAGCTTACAGCCTCATGAACGTACAATTATGGTCAGTTGGTATGAAGACAGTAAGGAGGAACTGTGCAAGCAGCAGGTTGCAAGGGCAGATGATGGAGGGCATAATTTCTTGGAAGTTAGAGAAAAAGCCTCTCAAGCATAGAAAACAGCATCAGGACAAAGCAGAATACAGGGTACTAAGATGAAAAGAAGGAATACAGCAGATACACCTAAACCTTAAACCTGGCTCTCCAGTTCTTCGCTTCGTGTATATTAGAAAGAAGAAAGTATCAATCTCCCCTTGGCCTCTACATTTGCTTTTGACTATCTAGTGTGGGACTTAAACCTGATGAAGTAAGCAAATCTCACTAACAGTGGTACCAAAACCACACTTGCAGCACAGCCAACAGCCCTGCTTTTTCATCCCCAGCTCTGTCAGTGAAGGCAGTAAGAGTCCTACGGTCACAGCCCCATTTTTATACTAAAGCAAACTAGTTACCACTGCAAATATAAAAATCCTCCACCCAGAACCCCTATCTCAGTTAACAGTAATGTTTCACAGAACACTGTTTCATTGTAGATTTCCAGACACACTTGCTTTTCAGGCACAGCTACTGAAATAAAGCCAGCACAAAAAGGAGTAACAGGGAAGTTTGCAAAGTAAGATCTTCAGTCACCTACTTGTTCAGCTCCTTAGTGTGTGCATCCGCTCCTTGCTGTATCAGTCTGTCCAGCACTTCCACGGGAGAAGTAGAGGACATGCAGTCATCATCCTGGGTTCCCTTGGCTTTCTTTAGCAGCTCCTCAGTCTTCTTGCCGACAAAGAGGTAGGCAGTCTTTGGTAATGCAACCTCAAAAAGGTGCTCATATAGGGGAGGCTGCCCACTCCCAAACACCACTCTTCTTTGTGCTGGTACTTTGCAAGGGCTGGGAGTGAGAATACTTGTCTCCCCAGAGGTTCCTTCCCTGTTACCAGCAGGGCTTTCACCAGAGCCTCCACAGGGCTTGTCTATGGGAGTAAATGTTTGTTTGGGTGTTTCCCGCGCACTCTCAGGCCCAGGCTTGTCCAGAGAAGATGTTAAGGGCTCAGAGTTCTGACTGTGTCCCTGAACACTAGAGACTACTGAATGGGTCTTCTTCTGAGAGCCTGACAGACTTTCATTTGTGCGGTAAAATGGAGAGTCAAATCCTCCTCTAGGCACCATGTGTTCAGCATCGGTTGTGATCTCAGAGATCTCTTTAGATATTGCATCTGAGAAGGATGGGAGAGGGGAGCATAATTACACATCTTGTATTTCAACATTACAAACATTTCCTTAGCTAAGATGTATGTAAGGATGATGGAAATTACCTTCCTCTCTGTCCTTTTCAGCACTATCTTCAAAAGACAAACCACCTAAAAACTCTGGAAGATCACTTAAGGTTACTGAACTTTTACTACCAGGTGTGTCTGAAGAAAAGAAAAAAAGAAAAGTTAATTGTACAGATGCTGTTTTCTCCAGCATTATCCCAGCACAAAACAGAAGTCTTTTACTGCTGAAAGGGCCTTAGAATAAGCTTGTCCCTCCTTCAGATGCTTCCTCAAAGGAGGAAGCTATCTGACTCCTGTTCCATTCCATGGGGAAACCAGTTCAGAGATCAGTCACTGGTCTGTCCAGAATCCCAAAATGTAGTTTTGTAAACTTAACATTCACTATTGCACAGCAAGTGTAGGTGCCCGCCTCTATGAATAAGGATGTGCTGTTTGCAAGTTAACCCATTAAATAAATTTAAAGAGAGGCTTAACTGTAGAGTGACTACTATACGTCCACATTAGCATTAAACTCCTCTTCAGCTTTTGATCTGGCTACACAAGGACACAGTGCTTACCTGAAAAGAGGAAGTTTAGCCAACTGATGTAAGACAAACTGGACAATATGCGACTACTGATCAAAATTCTGAGACAGCTGCCAGGGAGATATACACTAAAGCATGCAGGATAGAAACCTCATGCTCACAGCTCAGCCACAGATTAGGAACCCAGTGAAAAACCTAGCCTGTTCTTAACTTGTAATTCAGAAAGTTCAGATTGCAGTGTTGCTATACAACTTCAGCAAGGAAAACCAGCTTTAAATTTCACTATCATCTCCACTTCAAGGATGGTAAAGATTCACAGTACAGAAGTCTCAAATACAGTGCCAAAATCCCTTTCTACAGCTGTCACAGATGTAGATGACAGAGAATGGAAAATGGAATCTAGATTTACCTATTAGAAGCTGAGTTCCTCAACCATCCACTGTTGATTTCAATACTCCACAGGACTTTAAAAAAAGGTTCAAGTACAGCAATATAATTGTAGATAGAAAACAAAGTTTTTCCAAGAGCCTTTAAAAGGGAGCATATCTATGTTTATATGCAGCCTTACAGTTTGATCCAGACATGTGACATAAAACTTGTTCAAGTAATACTTCATATACAACTTGCTGCTTCTAATAAAAAAAAAAAATACACCCTCGAAGAATCAGGTTTAAAAAAAAAAAAGTTCTTTTTCAGCCTTCAGGGTAGATCTGTATATTTCAACATGCATAAGTATGCATGAGTGCTAGTTAAAAAAATTCTGCAAGCTATTTCTGAAGGTGAATAGTTAAAATGAAATCAAAAGCATCACAAGAAGGTTTTAAGTTGAATCACAGATTAAGGCAGGATCCTGGAACTACAAAGAGCTCAGGGAGAAAAAAAAAAAAGAAAGAGAAAAACCTGTGGAAAAGTGTTTGGCAATTGGAACATGTGTCAATAAAACCAGGATTTGGTTACAATAGGTTATTGTAATGGGGAGAGGAAAACAGAGTTTACCCAATGATTTATCGCTGTTTATGACATTTTGCTGTCGGTACAGTAAAGGCCTCCCAGGATCTGGTTTGTCCTCCTGAAAAAAACCAAACCAAAACCCAAAATAGATTCTTTGCATCAGACATCCATTGGAAACAAACCTCTTGGACAGTTTCATAGAAAGGAAATTCCTGCAAATAGATGGCTTAAATAGCAAACCAATAAAAAACCTCTTAAAACTGTGCAACTGGGAGTGACAATAGTTGTCTAAACTTAGGAAATCGAGTTTTTGCAATAAAATGCAACATTTTTTGTAAGTCACTGATTTTCCTTCTCAGTTATGGTCACTGCATGGATGACAAGTCAATGAAAAAAAAAAATCAGGTTTGTTTGGTAGAAGAGTTTTGTTGTACCTTTTTAGGAGGCGTGGCAGCAGCTGAAGGGAGTGAAACATGCACAAAGTCATCTGAAGTGCAGGGTGGAGGAGGAGACGTGGCTGGCGTTCCCAAAGGTGTTCCTTTCCCCCCTGCTGAAAAGGGGGAGCAAAAGTTTTCTCAGCAAGGTTCCCACTTCCCCATTTCAGCTGAATATTGCATGTAAAGAATTATATGTTTAAACACTAATCTCAACCATTTACTTCTTAAATCTCCTTCAACTACTTACCAAGACAAAAAAGCACAGTTTCCACAAGGCCTGTTTCAGACTTTGCCACTTAATGCACCATAACTTATTTCCTATCTCAGTGTTTGCATCAGTACTGCTTTAGATGACCAGGTACTCAGTTCACAGAAGTAATGACTTAAGCCTATCAAATGGCATAGTGTGGCATTCCTATTCAAGAAGCTGACAGCAAAATTTACAGTCAGAGTTTCTATTATAATAAAACTCGAAGGCCTAATTCCAAAATGCAGCACGTACCAGATGTGCCAAAAGCTTTGCTGTAAGGTTGTGATGCAGACTGGGACGACTCTGATGGGACAATTCCAGGGGAGGTTGGTGGAGTGGTCATACCACAAACTGCAGAAGGAGTCCAGATGGTAACCTACATAGAAGCAATACACAATAAACACAGATCAGTGAAGCTCAGAAAGGAACATGTGAAGCATCTGTATCCAGGTTTTGACACAGGAAATCAGACGGGTATTAAATCTGAAACGTACACTGAGTTCTGAAGAATTCACAGTGCTTCTCAGAAACACCATTTTTTTTAGATTGTCATGAGAAACTACGAACAAAGTGCAAAGAATTAAAAGCATGCTGTGCTTTATCTTCTGCTTTACCTGCTGTGGCTCAGTTGACAGCTGTATTGACTGCAGGCTCAGAATCTGAGGTAGCTGCCCTGGCATTTGTGATAGTGTTAGCCGTGGAGTAGAATATGGGGTAGAAGTCCCTGAAAGTTCAAAAAAAAAAAATTTAAAAGTATTCTACACATCAAATACAGATCAATGATTCTTCTGGCTAGTAGTTAAAGGTTTTCAACCAAAACATTTCAAATCTGTTCAACATACAAAGTGGCAGCTAGGAAACAAGAGACTTTTCTTCTAGCCCAAGAAAATATCTATTGAATATTTTACATACTACAGCTTTTTTTTTTTTTGTTGGTTTGTTGTTTTGGAGCTGAGGTGGGCAAGGGAAGAAGAGGCAGTGGAAAGGCAACTTTGCCAACATTCTGTATGTCTGCATGACCACAGCATATATGTATATATTTCTTTGTCTTTAAATGATGGTTTATTTTCTGGCATCTAAGAATCGGACTTTAAAGTGGGATGAATTAGTAAGATGTCTTTCTGCTATAGGGCCAGTTTTCCTCCAGGAAATGGGTATTCATTAGCCATCAGGCAGGTCTTACCATAGCTGCTCTGTGTGTCAATGTAATAGCTGGCACTGGGGTCAGTTTGATGATGTTTTAAGCTTGTGCAGAGTTTCCGAGACACAGAGTAATAGCCATCTTCATATGAGGCTTCTGCAGGGTCCAGGGAGATTTTGGCACATTCTATCACAACATCATGAGTTTCTAGTCTTTTCCACCTGCAGACAGTTTTTGGATCCAAAAGAGTAAGTTAGTCAATTATTGTTACAAACAAGAGTTCCTGGAGATATGAGGAATTGGCTTGTAGGATGGCTCATTTGTTCCAGACAGCTTTGCATGCTCCCAGCCAAAACTGGAACAAGGCACCATACAGAAATTGCAACCAGATGACTTGTAAGAGGGGGTCTCAGAGAGGAGACAAACAGCTTTGACACAGAGATCCATAAAGGTCTGCCATGGAGCACTCTGGAAAGGAGGAACAGCATACGAAGACTTGGTTGATCCTGAGCTTCAGCAGCTGTAGAAATCAGCTCAACTACACTCAGATGTTGGTAGCCAAAATTTAGACATGCCATCAGTGAGGGAATCTTATAGTATTTAAACAAACACCATCTGCAATGCCAGTTTCAGGTCTGTGTATTTCCTCCCAAGTTTTGGGGATGCTTTTTATTGTTACTACCTCCTTCATTCTGAAAACTTTTTCTCACTAAATTAAGCAGCCTGATTAGATCTGCCCAGTATTTCAGGGGATGGACGTTCACTGTAAAGAAGAGAAAGCACAGCAGGCTGTCTATTAAAGGCTGAGTTGCTTTTGAATGTAAGGTATTATGTGCAAGATACCAAATCAGAAGGCTTCAACTGGTAGTTTTGTGCCAATTGCACTCCTTAGCGGTGCCACCCTCCCCCCTGTCTGGGAGAAGCCTGCAAAATTGAGCATTGTGATAGTCAATAGGTTCCCATTTAGTAGTGTTTTCCTAGTGGCTCTGAAAAGCAGGGCAAGAGCACTACTGTGCAGCAACAAGAGTCAATTTCTCCTCTTCAGTGGCTGGGCCTGTGGAGACAAGAGAAAAGCAGCAAGTGGTGCTGCTGCAGGCAAATGAGCCTATTTCTAAAGAAAACTAATACAGCTGATAATGTTAACACATACCTGTTAAAAGAATTGATCTGTTAACTGAACCAATATCTAGGTACCAAAACAAGACACACTGAAGCCATTTTAAACGCTTAAATCCCACCAAGTACTTAAACAAACCAAAAAAAATATGACCCAAAACTTAAGCCAATGAAGCAGGCCAGTGGTAGTTTCTCTTTATTCATTATGAGCAAATTCTTTTAGAACTTGATGAGGATGTTTGATTGTTAAGTCATAAAATTAAGACAAAGTCAACTATTAAGTAGAAGACAGATTCTATCCCAGACACAAAATTAATTTAGAACCCCAACATTGTTGCTAATGGCCTTTCACAACAGTTTGTGCTTATTCATCCAGCTATAAGCTTGGATGAAGAAAGTCTTCATGTTTACCTGGTGTACCTATGCATATGGGTGGCAAAACACCACTGGCACAACACTGTTGCTGACAGAAGAGGTTTTGCTGTAAGCCTTCTGAAATAACCCAGCTAAAAGCTGCTCATTTATAGCCTTTCCTAATAGCAGAGTGAACATATATACCTTCGTGGGTCCAGTTCATGGTCCTTAGATCCAGTCACTAATTCTGGATGAATTCGCACATGTTCCATCATTGGCTGGATGAGCAAGAAGAAGTATGTATTATCAGTACAGCATCTTTGGATTGCACTAAACTACACAAAGCTGATGAGCAACCTACTGATCCCAAGAGTTCAGAATTTACAGTTAACAGATAAAGCTAACACGCATTATCACAGCTTCAAGAGCTGATCTTGCTCCCAACTGAGATTTCAGTCCTCCAGAAGCCTGGTTTTATTCTGTTTCATTGAGCAGCCCTCAGTTAAAACAATGTAGTGTATTAAATTGGCAAATACCTGCCTTTATACAGCTATGAATTCCTTGCCTCAGATAATACAGAGACGAACAGCATTTTACCTTGACTACCTCTTCAAAGGTCTCCAAGTTTTCCTTCATACTGTAGTGAGAACGCAGAAAGGAGACAAAATTGCAAGGATACATTCCATAGAGACGATGAAAGAGAGCATAGACACTGGCATGAAGATGGACAAGATAAATCTCTGCCACGTGACCTGGAAAAAGTAGTTAGAATCTTTTTCATTACATTGGAGCAAAGAACAAAACTTCTAAGAATGCAAGCAAAGTACTTTAAATTTTGAAATGTTAACTGGAACGAGTCTTCTGAGATATGAATAGTCCCTAGTGAAACTGTGAAGTCTTCTGAGAGAATAGGCAACACTTACTCATCAGCTCACAGCAAACCCAAAAATTAAGATACGGACCATTAATTCCAACCAGTATCCTGTCATTCTCAAAGCACAGCATTTTTTATCCAAGTTAAAACCTGAAACCCCTCTAGATAGTGAGCCAGAGTTTTCAAGACAGACTGAATGATTAAAAAAGAAAACTAAGGTTTGCTTCACTTCAAAGGTAAAAACTAAAAGTTTGTACCCACAAAAAGCAATTGCAACAGACTTGCATCTTACTAGCCATCTTGTAAGTTCCAATCCTACTTGCAATGCAAAATGGCCCTCTAAATCGTATCTCTATGTGCTTAACGTAGCATTTGTTCATACAGCCATGAGACACATACAGATAACGCTAGTGTTAGGTATCAGACACCTTACAACAAATTCAACAAAACCAATTCATCAGAACCAATGCTATAACTGAGAAGACTAGTTTCACCAACACTTTCGTGACTATTGGTAGTTGCATGTTAAAAGAAACTCTTACATGTTGCTTCTTCCCCCTCCCCATCCATACCTGGAAATCTCAAATTCCCAAATATCTCTGTCAAACATTAACATTTTCCCTTCTCTATCCATTAAGATCAATCGCTGCTTTTCACTGTCATCGGGGTAGCATTTCGGTCCAGTGAAACTTCATGTAATAGCAGCACCACATGGAAGAATCTAAGAGACTTCCACGTTTTGAGCAAAGAAGCACTCCCTGATGCTAACTAGCAAAGAACAGAATAGCTTGTGGGCTTAATACATCATTTTCTGCATTTAAGTAATCTCAGACCATTAAGAGTCTCACAAAAGAACATGCTCACCAACTGCATATGAGTCACAAGGATACTACTAAACCATAACTGCATGCAACAAAGTTGAAATCTCACCTGGATTCTGCAAGCACCAGGCTGAGAGACGCCCAAAGATACCAAAGAAATCATGAAGGTACTGTTTGCCAGACTGAGGAATCATTGGCAACATGGTTATTAGCACTAGGACACCTGTGGTGAGTACTACTACATCTGTGTCAGTCTGCAAGAAGGGAAAAAACCTGCATTAGTCAGTTAAAAGAGTTGAACTTAATTTTTTCCAAGGATGAAGTGAACACTGAATCATCACCATGGGAAAAGTTCTCTACTTTGAAACAGTCTCTCTGAAACCTACCATAACTTAATGAACTAAGATTATTGTCTCTTTCATCCAGAACAACTCTAAGAAAAAAGATTTGGGATTCTTGTTCCTATTCTGCTGCTGATTTTCTGTATAAAGACTTGACTTAGTTAAAAAGGGAACATCACCACAGTTCCACAATTGAGTAGAAAAAAAATCACTGGTATGTGAAGCATCTTATGTACCGCCTGCCTTCTTTCACAGAGCTAAGCACACACGGCATTTGGAGCTTAAGAAACTGCAGATCTGATCAGGGTATTCAAGGATGTTGGCCCATTACCAATGCAAGGGTCAAAAGCTTTTCTGGTCAAAAGCACCAACCTGGTTGATGACTCTCGCAGCTAAATATTTCATAAAGCAGTAATTCAAACAATAACTAGGACCCCATGGCTTACACTGAGAGAAAGCAATGTGGCAGTAAAAATCTTTAGCTAGATGAAACAGTAATAGAGAATCAGATGTTAGGACAGGACACAGAAAACATTCAGACTCTTTCCTGGTGGGGTCCTCGCTTGCTTCCCCAGCTTAACGCGCATTTTCCTTGGTAGTTCCTCCGCTTTGTCAGGATAGGGGTGTAAACAGCACAGGCAAGCGTATGGCCAGATGCCACTGAGCTGGTCTTGGTATTTCCCAAGAACCTCTCGGGCTGATCGGGCATATTCAGTGTTAGGATTTTTTCTTCCTCTATGTAATCTACAGCCTCTATTCTCCCTCAGTCAGACATAACCTTTCACAGCACATTTCATGTCCAGCCCTATCCCTCTGTACACATCCCTAGGGCTTCCACGTTTCTGTTCTACTCCCAGCAGTTTTCTGACACGCTTCACTCCTCTCACAATCAGGTAAGACTCACAGTGAAAAGGACAACAGAACTCATCAGGCATGTCAGGAGTTCCAGTAACAGCACTCATAGCTTCTTCTTTGGCAGTTACAAATCTGTTGAGTTTTTGTTTTGAAGAGCACTGGCACTTGACTAGATCATGCATTTTATGGCTTAAATGACTAATATGAATTCTTCACTATCATATTAAATGATATTACTGACAATGCATTCTAGGTCTCAAAACACTTTCCATTCTTTATTCACTGTTACAATACTGCACAGTATGATAACATAAATTTGCAGACGGGAAAAAAACAAAGCATGGGGACACAGCTGCCTCCTTGAAATCCAGCACGTCTGTAGCTAAGAAGGGAAAGTCTGTTAATTCCAAGGTAATTTCATCATGGAATAGTCTATCGCATGCCCCATCTACACTGCAAGTAGAGTATATTACCTTACATGCACAAATTTCAGAAGGCACTAATGGGAAGTTATTGTATTTCTCAATAAGTTCACATTCAAGATATCCATCAACTTCACCAATCGCCCTCTGTCTTTAACTTATTTTTAGAAAAGTTTTAGTAAACTTTGCTAACTCAAAGTTATACAGGGACAGTGGCTTTTAGAAACAAGATTGGCAGTAATAACAGGATCAGCACAGAGTATTTAGTTGATACAATTCCACTGTGGCTCAGTATTTTAATCAACATTTTATCTCTTCTCACAGCTTAACTAAATGGCATCAAAACAGAAAAGAAATGCCTTGCATTACAAGTACGTATGTTTACATCAGGTGTACAAGTGTTTCATGGACAACACTAAGCAGTTCTTACCTTGAGACATTTCAGCAATGAAAGTAGGAGAGGTGCTTGAGAAAGCTTATGTTTCCAAGATGGTTGTCGTCTTATCACGTGTCCCAGCAGAGAGAGGGTGGGTAAACGGGTAGCAGCTTTGCCCATATATTCATTAATTTTGTCCAGTAGATGCTGATAGAAGATTTGGGAGAGAGCGGTAGAAAAAGGAAAGGTGTTTGTATTTAACTGGTATATATTCTTTTTCACCAATCTCTATTCAGCAGTTTGCCATTGCCAATTATGGAAACTATGGGCATTTTACAAATATAGAGGATCCAAGAGCAAATAAAACCCAGCAATAAATTTAAGTCTGCTGGTAGCAAAATGCAAACTATTCAGTCCAGAAGCAGTCACTGCACTTCAAAATGTTTATCATAAATAAATAATAAAAAAATTCTGGTCAGCAGAAGTAAAACTATCTGTAGTGCCATCCTCTCAACCTATTTAAAATTCCTTACTTGCTCTCAAAAATATCCAATTCGTTTTAGGCTAACACATCCAGCATTGAACAAGCAGCAGTAGCATTGCAAAGAAACAACATTAGCCCTCAGAAAACTTTAATTTATAGAGATTCTTTGCTTAATTGGGGCAGTTTAAGCAACCCAAGAAATGGAGACCTTTGAAGGTTTTTTTTTTTTTTAAAACTTAACTACTCTTACTACAGAGATACTACATCTCTACAATGTAATTCTATACGAGAATGGAAAACACAGTTCTAACAGATGCTATTTAAAGGTTGCTTCAATACCAGGCTAAAATCTGCCATGCTTAATAACATTTTTTTTTTTTTTTTTTTTTTTTACCTTGTCATGAGGCTCTTGCAGTGTGGACAGTATATGCAGTGCCTGCTGAGAATTAGTTTCCAAGTAATAGTCCACCAGGTTGTTCACAAGCATAGGTCCACGGTCTATCAGTTTGTTTACAGCAAGGAAAAGAAAAAACCATACATTCTCAATACACTAAAAATGAAGCATTTGTTACAGGGACATTGTACAACTCTTTAACAACTATTACACAATTTATAACATAAACCAGCACTTAGTGTTTGCCAGATCTTTAGGAAAATGAGACCTCTCAACTATATTTTCTAGTTCCTAACCATTCAAGCAATTGCAGTCAGCTCAGGAAAAGTAACTAGTTTTTTTTTAATAACTAACAATTACTGTCTAACCTTAAAAACCTAGAGGTAGCTGAACTGCAAGAGTATTTTACGCAGTACAGGTAAAGAGTTCAGGACTAACTTTACATTCTCTCCCTTCAGCAGATAAAGGAGAGCAAGTTCAGGGACAAGGACACTGCCAGTGCTCACATGCTCTGAAAAGGCTCTGTCAACATAAGGGATGCCTTAACAGCAGCAATCATTTTTTCAAGGAAGGCTGGGTCTGTTGTTTTGTTTAGGGTTGGGGTTTTTTGTTGTTTATTTTTCGAATGAACAAAATCCTGCTAGTTCCCATAACGTGGATGACACCTAATTCTTTCTAGATACACTTGCAAAGAAAGTTCCATCAGCTCACAACTTGAGGTTATGCCCCGGGAAAAGCTAGTCATTTTATAATAGCATTTGAACAATTATATAACAGACCTTCCAAGAGGCATGCCATTAAGCAAAGTGGACTGAAGAGAAGCCTCAACCCTTGAAGCAATTTCAAACCCAAATATCAAGAGTTTCTTTCAAGTTGCATTTGCAAAGACTGTGTTTGACAGAAAAAAATAAAACATTATTCTACCTTTATTGGTGTAAAAGCAAAACCCTTCCTCCAATTACATATAAGGATACATACCACAAATGAGATTATCTTTGAACACAGTTGTTATATCTTCCAGGACACCCAGAACTGGAGAATCCAGCATTGAGAGGAGCTCACCAACATTTCCTTGCTGTGCCATGATGCACGTACTAACATGAATGTGGAGGTTAAAATTTCAGGACGTTCCTCATTGGTGCCTCTCTACCAGACTAGGAGAGAAGAGAGAGCAGATGAATGAGCTTTCTTTTTTCCCTTTCCTTCTGACATCTCTCATCACTTCCCTATTTCTTTTCTGCCGTATTGCCCATTTAACAGTTTTACACTGAAAGGATTGATAGAGTTTACACACCTGCAATTAAAGCTGTAAGAGTTTACAAAGAAGCCAATGAGTCACGAGCAGGGTTTTCTTCATCTTTTTTAAAAAGGCATTAATCTGTTTTGTGGAAGACCTCGGCTAGCATATATAGACCATCAGAGCGTTCTATTACCATCTTTTTTTTAAATTTGCTCTCCAGGTAAGTCAACTAAGACTAAAGTTTTGAATAAAATGCAAATACATCCCTGGAATCATTCCATTCTCGCTTTCTTACAGCAATTCCTCCTCAACCAACCTTTCAAGTCCTTTGCTTAGTGGTCTACAGTCTGCAGAAAATATGCATCTCAAGATCCTTCTCCACTCCTGTGGCTACATTAGAAATTCACTGCCCTCGGCTTTGCATTATTGCATACTAATAGATTTGTGCTTTAATACTTGCAACGTGGCCAAGTTGCAGCTGTTAGGAAACTCAGTTAGGGTTACTACAGCTGCTGTTCCTTGGTCACCCTGTGCATACTAAATCACAAGCTTAGCAGCACAACATACCTTGTTTTCACATGTATAATTTGTGAATTATATATTAAAAACTCTGCAGTGCAAAAACTGTATAGATTATTAAATGCAACAATGTGCAGATAACGTGACTGGTCAGCTTCACAGTACTAAGTAGGAGTAAATCTAAGTCATTTCAGGCTTTTAAGATGGCTTCCTCCCATGTACCAGCAAGGGAGGCATTCCGGCATCACATCTATCTATCCATCACAAAATGAATCAAGTTTTTTCTTCATCCATAAGAATCCTATGCTGAACCTTTCCCAGTGGCAGAAAGAATCTGGCTTCACATCACACCTAATTTTATTAGCAAGGGTTTCTTCTTTCCTCCTACTTCCAGCTAGCATGCATTGTTCATTTTCTCCATGGAAGGCAAGACTGACACATACCAAGTTGACACACAAGATTTTTTTTTTTTTTTTTTTTTTACTGCAATTGTATATACAGCACCTGTTCTGTGGACGAGTTGAGCTTCTGTCTGCAATGCTGTCAGCCACACACCTTTCATGATCACTAATAAAGAAAAAGCATGAAGAGGTTAACAAAAGGCACAATTTATTTCTTCCTTATCAAACCTTGTATATTCAGACCAGCATTAAGTTCTTTACTAAGCATAGCCGAGCTATGTATCTCCTGTGTGAGGAAAGTCAGCCCTTAGTTTGAAAAACACCAAAAGGTGTTGCACAGTTGCCCTTTCCAGAATTGTCCACAGGTTAAGCTGTGTAATTGCCTCTAACTAGGTGGCTTTCACAAGACTGTAGTTTTGTACTGTGAACCTTCAAAAGCTGCTAAAGAGTTTTATTTATGGTAGGTAAAATCTTACAAAGAAGTCTTCTGTTATCCTACCAAATTCTGAACATAGAATAATTACTGTAATTGTTTAAGTCTTTAGATTCTAGTCAAAACATTGTTAGACATTAGCCAAGGATCAGTGCTCTATTTGAAATTATAATTCTGTAATTATTTATATACATATCACTTCCTTGAAAACTTATGTTTAACAATATTACCGGACAGCAGGAGTTAACCTGTCTACCAGTAAACTTTGTCATTTGCAATGTATCACTCTGTACTTGCAGAACTGCCCAAGGTCACTTTTACTAGGGCCACAAGACATCAGCTAACTTAATCTGGCACTGATTGCAAATTCAAAGGTGATAATATGGCACCACACTCACAACAAGCATTTCATTAGCAACAAACTTGCTTGAAGTGTTCTTGTAATCACAGTTCCAGAACACAAAAAAACCCCACCCTCAGTTTTCAATTATCATAGCTGCATAGCTGAACAGTCCAAATAAAATTTCAGTTCATCTACAAGCAGCTAGCAGAGTCTGCTAATTGAAGTGTTTCAGATCTAAATGCTATTTTTTTTCACGTCCCATGCTGGCAAGATCTTAAAAAGTGCAGACTTAAAACTGGCTGGTAGCGTAAACAAGACTTTCAATTAAAGATAATAAAATAGCAACTTGGGGTGGGGGAAAAGACTAGCTTTTTACTCATACAGAATGGATATCTGCTTTCCAAAAAGATTAGGGCTGGGATTTGTTGTAGTTTGGCATTCTGGTTTGGTTTCTTTCTTTTTTTTTTTTTTTTTAAAACTCTACAGTGTGCAGACTTCCAGGCTTCATCTTCTTCCTCAAAGAGCTTGCTGCTTAGAAGGCAAGCAATGTTCAAAGAGTAACACCATCCTTTCAGAAAGTTTAAAGCCACTCATCCATGCAACCTAAGGAGTCAACCTTTCACTTTGTTACTCATTTTCAGGAGTCAACTATATTTTTAGTTTCTAGTAACTGCTGTAATATTTAATTTACTAAATTACAGTTATACTGAGATACCCAGAATGCATGCAGAACTATATATGGGGAAATAGTTTACTACAAGTAATCTATTCCTTTATTTCTGAGAACACTATCTTTGAGACCGTAAAGGGCTTCCTAACATAGGTGCCTCGATTTCTATCAGTATACAGTCTCTGCTATGGTTAAGCAATAGATACACCAGCCTCCCAAGTAACATGAATTAGTTGTTTTAAAGTCGTGTTAACAAGAGATGAATGACCACACCCCCAAACCAGCTGCAAGCAAAACCTGTTTTGAGAATTAAAGCAGCATAAATGCTAGTCTCTGCTTTTTTACCCCATAAAGACCTTGTCAACTTTTTTTCTGTGATTCCCCGCCCTGCACCAGAGTGACAAGAATGCTTTTATTTCTTATTTTCCTCTAGTAACACATTATGCTTGGACCAGATCTTCATCACACCGGTAAAAACCTCAACAGCAGGTTTCACTAATTCTGATACTGCCAGAGGGAAAAAACTAGAGCATGGTGAAATCAAGAACCATGCATGTTTTTGGAAGTCAGCTTCAACAATACACATGCAGACAGACAGGAAAAACACCGGTTTAAGTGTTCAGTAGGTAAGAGGATTTCAAACTTTGTGCTATTGGCCTGATGGCACACAAAAACTACAATCAGATAAAAGCAAGGCTGATAATGCAAGCTTAGTTGCCGGTAACTGTACATGTAGGTAACTAACAAGTTCCCAAGCTCCCTAAACTAATTAAAACAGATGGCTCAAGTGACCTTGTGCCAATAAATCCAGCATAGTTTAAATGAACTTGTCAATCAGTAGATCATGCACTGAAGTACTTTATGAAAAGTGGGGCAATCTCCACTCTAAAAGCCAGTATTCAAAATATTAATGAAAGTATTCTAAACCACATCTAAAACTGGGTCAATATTACAAATAGGTACTTCACTAGGTGGAAAGTTTATCTGCTGAAGTTATATAAACACCAGTATAATGTTGTCACCCTGCTATACACAGTGTCACAATTTTACAAAAGCAAATCACAGCTTTCTTGATGCAGGATCTCTTGTAAAGTCATTCGTGAGGAACAGACTTGAAATCCTAAGTAAGACTAAGGCCAAGATCCTCTAATCATACTGGGTCCGTGATGCTCAACACAAATGAACAAACCAGGAGATTCCAGCTACAGTCTTAAAACACATCACACTTTTTTAAAGCAAAGACAGCTGAAGATCTAGTTTACAGGCAACAGGCTTTTAACTTCAATCAGAAAACAGTTGTAGTAGATGAAGTACAGGTCCCAGGGGCCATCGTATCAGTGTGATTTATGACCAGTCCTACCAGTAGTTTGTGATGTGATTTTCAAATCTTGTAGATAAGGAACTCTGGACAGGCCAGATTAAGGAACTTCCACTACCTTGTAAAACAGTGAGATCATCTGTGGAATGCCACAGTATTTTGTATCTGGGATTGATACAACACTTGTGGTGAACAGGATCTCCCTTAAAGTTTTACAGTATTGTATCACAACCATGTCTTTCTTCTCAAATACAGAGTATACAAGATGAGCCTCTTCAATGCTTTCATCCCCAGCTACTGCAATCATACCCCTATTAGAATTTCCACATCTCTTCAGCCATACTTGGAACTAACAGGATTAAAATGAAGTCAGTTAACTTCTCCATATGGTTTGAGTCACTGATTCTTCACTAACTTTTAAAATTAGTTTTATATAAAAGATCTAAGGCACAAGGTAGTAAAGAGTGAAAAAAGTCTGTTTAAACACCTTTTAAAATGCAAAATTTTAATCTCACTGGAAGACATAAACACCAATAGCAAACTTTGTATTCTTATATTCAAGAGCTTTCAGAAAGACAGATTTTAATAAAAAGTATTAATTTTAAGTACCAACACAACTTTGGAGCCAGCTTACAGGGAAAAAAGGAGAAGCCAACAAGCCAAGAACCAATTTGTTTTAAAAAAATTTTTCAGTAGCTAATTTAACCACAACACAACACTGTTAAGCTACAAACTCAAGACAAAGGAAAAGACTGTGAAAATATTCATTGGAAAAGGCTCAATAGAGAAAGAGATAGCAGAGTATTTCAAAAGATTATGACTTCTATAAGTATTTCTGTCAAGAGAAGATGTTCTTCTGTTCAGTGTATTTTTATCTCAAGCCAAATGAAAAAGCAGCTGGTAGTGCCAGTTATGCTTCTCTGAGGGGTGGGGAGGAGGGGGACACACTCAACATACACACACACTCCTCCCAGAACGTCCTCAGCATTTGCTGTAACAACGCAGAAATTCAGACACCACCAGCACTTATTCTGAGGGGTGGGGGCATCGGCATCAGCATTTCACCCTTCTTCATTAATCATAAGTTAAATATGGGGCATGCCAGTAAATGGTTATTACCCCCCACCACCCCAAGAGAAAATGGGGATTTCAACAACGTT